GCAACGCGGGACCGTTTGGCCGAAACCTCAACATCTGTCTTAGCCTCCAGCTCTGGACTCTCTTTCTCAACTTGGTTATTCAGCGTATGGCTGAGTCTCTGAGAAGGAAGTGGTTGATACGGTCGATAACGACCTCCAAGCCATCTCGGTGAGGCGGCCGAGGCGTTTCTCTTACAAGGTCAAGATGAAACTTCGAGTCCCACCCAAACATTTGTGCCCCATCGAGGACAAAACAGTGTAGCCGTACCCCATCAAACGTTTTTTCTCAAGGACAATACGTTCCCTACACTCCACCTCTCTTCTGCACGAAATTGGCACGCCATAACCATTCAGTTCGGCAGTGGGTATTACAACTTTCGTTATTTTGCGAATATTTGTGGTTATTAAGGAGCTTCAAACCTTACAAGATATGATAATCGGGGTAATTCAAGATTGCAAAAAATTAATCTGAAGACCTAGCCCATACCCCTTCCTAGTCATTGTCAGGAGGAATGGGCGTGACGGGCTTGCTACCAGTGCTCAAGAGTGTTATGGACCAGGTCCACGTATCCAAATACGATGGCAATACCGTGGGTGTCGATGCCTCTGACTGGCTGTACAAAGGCGCGTACAGCTGTCCGGTGGACCTCGTACTAGGAAGACCGACCGATGCGTGCGGAACAAATTAACTTAAATGTTACGATTTCAACCTTAATGTAACGCTTAAATTGCACGTGCATATGGAATAGGTACTTAAATTACGCCATGCAGCATCTTAAACTCCTGCAACAGCACAACATTAGACCAATTCTAGTCTTTGATGGAGCTCCACTTCCCTCAAAAGCCCAGGAGAATGCTGCTCGTAGCAGGTCAGACATGAGGGTGCCGCTAAAAGTAGCTGCAAGTTGACTGAGCTCGACGGGATATGATCGCTGTAGATTTCGTGCCAATTGGTTACAGAAGGCAAGGAAACTGTTGCAGGAAGCGAAAGAGGACCAAGATCCTCGCGCTGTCTTTTCGGCTTGTACGAAAGCTGTGTCGGTCACCAATGATATGATTATGAGGCTGATTGCAGTGCTGCGGAAAATGAACATCACCTTCTACGTTGCCCCTTATGAAGCGGATGCTCAGCTTGCATTTCTGTCGCGCCAAAAGATAGTGGACGTAGTCATCTCGCAGGACTCAGACTGTGTGCCATATGGAGTCAAAACCGTGCTCTACAAATTGAATTCAGATGGGTGGGGGTGTGAATTGAAAAGGAGGAGCCTTGGTGCTAACGAGGAGCTATCATTTGTTGGATGGTCAGAGGAAATGGTGCGGATAATTGGACGCTAAGTCTCTTCCAAATCTAATTATTATGACTTTTGTGGTATGTGCAGTTTATTCAGCTCTGTGTGCTTGCTGGGTGTGATTACTGTCCGTCTGTGAGTGGTGTTGGCATTATCACAGCTTATAAGCTCGTGAATGAGAACAAGACGCCAATAAAAGTAGGAATGAAAGATTTTAAAGGACTAAAGATCATCATCCTAAACGTGGTAATGGCCATAATAGGTTCTGAAAGCATTACAGCAACAAAAAGGATCATTGGTGCCTGAAAACTTTTCTGAGCAATTCTATTCGGCGATCTTGACCTACCGTCACCAGCTTGTATTTGATCCCCGTGACGGTGTACGTTCGCTGATACTACTCAAATACTTGTGTTATTTGTTAATTGCTGATATGCTCATTTCTGTAGAAGCTAAAAATGCTGAGTCCACTCGATGTTTCAAAGGATATATTGCCGTTAGTAGAAAAAGGTCTTCACTTTCTTGGAAATGTTGAGCTTCGTGACGAAGTTGTTGCATCGATTGCGTCGGGCCAACTTCACCCAGTGACACATGAAAGTTACGTGTGGAACAATACCGCTGCTAATGTCCGGCTAGAAGAAGAGCCGGGGATCTCAAACTCGAAAACAAGCAGAACGCGATCATTGACATCGTCTGAGAGCAGTGGCATGGCGATGCCTCAACAAGACTACAGACCAATTGATCCTTTGTTCGGGGAGATTTCCAGTCATATGCGGACTGCGAATCCGCGAACTCGATATCAAAAGCCACGTCCGTCATCGTGCTCATCTTGGACGCACCTAGACAGCGTCTTGGGTTCATCAGATCACATAGTGAATTTTCGAAGCCCGAAAGTGAGCGAAAACTTCAGGCCGTTAGCTGCGTTGCACGATCCATCTGCATCGATTCGCAGCCTTAGTATAAATGCGCAGGATCTAAAGAACTTTAAAAGCCTCCCTATACGTGACCAAGTTAAACGTGTCCGGAACCCGACCAACCGAAGAAGAGACGGGAAAGGTAGCGGATTTGATGGCGAGGTTTTATGCAGAGTCGAACACGGTAACGTTTCCAATCCAGGGACCATAACCGAATCTCGGCTCAAATCAGCGGCAATTGAAGGTAATTACGGCCGATTGACAGATGAAGAGAATGCTCCACTAAAGCAAGAAAAGCGTCGTCGATTATCTCAATGCCCATCGTTGCCGTCGTCGTCACTTTCTTCGCAAGGGTCAAACTGTTTCAGTCACACACAGCTTTATCGTCCAACTCCATTTGGTTGTGGTCAACGACCATTTAGTCCGACAAATAGCGTCCACAAGCTACCACCCCGTCACTCCCAACATACCTATCCAGCTGATCCAAAGCCTACGTCTCGTAATGCCTTTGCAGTTTCAGCTGAAGAGAAATGGGACCGAATTCTTTGTGAAGAGCTTGACGAAACTAACAGCAGTGGCAGCCAAGTAGGGGACGACGAAGTGAGCTGTGCATGCTCATCGTCATGTGTTAGCCATCGACAACCTCTAGCTTCAATCAATGAGGTACTCAATGATTCCTAGCTATATGGACTAAAAGACATGAATAGATTTGGTATATATTATGGCACTTAGTTCTTCTGTGCTAGTAGTTTGCTGTACTATAAGACCAAACCTTCAGTAGCCGGTCGAGCCTCGTCGTCCTTACCGCTACCCCGTAATGCTTGTAGAGCGTAGAGCCGTCGTCTTCGTACCGTGTCCTCGTCAGCAATATTGCTTCTCGGTAATGGAGCAGTAACTCCGGTCCGTCCAGGCCCGGAAATCGTAGTTGGTCTATTTTCCGAACTATTGTTCCAGCTTATGTTCAAAGGCATTGACATAGGTGCAACCACCGCGGCACGAATGGGTGCTTCTCGAGTTACAAAGCTTGTCTCCTCCATTGACTCTTCCAGCGCTCGCATCCAAAGCGAGCTACTACCATCAGGAGCACCTCCATCGACGCCACCACGACGTCCAAAACGGCCGCGCTGATAGTCCCGCAACGGCGGCATCTTCTTTAAAAATTGTAGATCAGCCGAGACCATGGCGCGTTTTCGACGAGGCTGGTCATCATGTTGGCTGTCTTCAAAACCGGATGGGCGAGAATACCCAGAGAAGCGGTCGTCGCCACTTGTGCGCTTAATACTAGGTGATGCTTGTGGTCGCGCGCGCTTGGTGTTTCGCGCTCGAAGCGCCATGTCAGATCAAGTGAATTGAATAGCTCTCAATCAGTTACTTTGCCAAATGATTTGAAGCCAGAGAACAAGAGGTGGGCGTCGCTTTGCTCGGTCGTTTCGCGGCAAAGTGGGAGCATATAAATCCAGACGATTGCGAGAGAGCGAGGCGATGTTACTTCAAGTCCCACCAAAAATAGCACTTCGTCTCTAAAGCCGGATGTTCTGGAACTCTAATTCTAGAACTAGACCACAAACTACGTAACCAAACGAGTTTTTCAAAATGTGGCATTGAGCATGAGAACTATTTCTCTGCTTTCAGTTCTAGCAACGAGGAAGACTTGAATCGCCTGTTTGAACAATCTGTCGCATGAATAACTTTGGCGACCGTCAATCTCTAATATAGCCTACCCCTTTCTTGAATCTTGTCTGTTTCTTAGAAACTTCTACATATCCATATGGAATCAATTTCAAATGTTACACTGAATGCGAATCTGACAAAAAAATGCATGAGTATACGAAGAACAATCAATAGGTTGAAGACCAGATAGCATTTACAGGTCCAAATCATTCCTCTGTCGTGCGTTTGCCAATACTCAGTGAGACCTTCCATGCGTATATATTGGGGGTATTAAGTGGTGCTAATACGATCTGAAACTGCTGTATAAAGACTTGAAGCCTATACTTAAACACTACTCCTAGAAACTCTGCTTATTTAATTCATTTTTTCAAGTCTTCGGCATCAAATCGTTTACATATCGATTGATATCATTGTGCCTGGAAATTTCTTTTGTTTCTACGTTTCATAAACTGGAACTAGCGTACTATTTAGAGGAGTTGAATAATTGAATAAGAACGTGGAACCTGATTTGTTTACTTCAGTCGATACATGGCTCGTGGCGTTGCAGCCACGCCATTCCGACGATCAAAACATATTTATTTACAACGTGCTTTAAGGTCACTTGAGAATTGACCAGACCCTTCGTCATTTTTACTAGGGTAACCATCGCGAAACACACGGATATTGTATCCATATTCGGCATCTTCAAATCCTCCGCGTACAGTCTACCGTTTTGGACAGTCGCGCGTTGAACGTAGTCTTACCTATCATGACTTTCGTGGATTTCACGAGGCCTTAGCCAATTATGTTAACAGCCAACAATCGGGCTATGTGAGCCACCTCTCTTTGACACAGTGGCATTGCTTAGAGCTGGTTTCAATTTGACACGAAATACGCGAGGTACAAAAACCACTTCTTTCCTAGTGGACCACCCTGCGAATACTGGGATGTGACTCTTCCGCACAAGGGGGTTCGTCGGCCACTGTTGCGGTGAAACTCAACTCTTAGTGACCCTCAGCTGAGAGCGAAGGGGCACGCAAGGCATTTAATTTTGGACAACTACCATTAACAGATCTGCGAGTCGATCTGCTGCTTATATACCCGGCTCTTCCTCCTTAGTATAGCTGAGATCCACTGCTTTTGGCGCGTTCATAGAAGATACGATTCCGTGATGGTGTACTTCACATTCAGTGCAGCATCGACCACTTCTTCGAAAAATATGCACGTAGACGGGAGGATTTTAGTGCAAGCCGAATTCGTTTGATGTAAAGAAAAGGAATTGAGGGGTGATTCCTAAGAAATAAAGCAAAATACAAAGGTCATTTCTTGCTGCCTTGTGCTACCCTTAGCTAATTTCTACTAATAAGTATATTCACCCAAATATTTTACTGGATACTTACCGCAAATACACTTTTCAGATATGCTCCACTGAATACTTGCAATACGCAAAAAAACTGCAGCACATGTCAGCACCATAATACACAAGCCTGTCCACATGGGTAACTACCGGTGTCAACTAATCAAAGAGTGCTCCCGAGATAATTCCTTGCCAACAGTCTGCATGTCAAGGCGATTTGCACTCTCAATCGACTCGGCATTATACAGAGCTTGATTATCACGATTATCACTAAAGAATTCATACTGTAAGGAATTTTTGGCTTCGTCATCATGTCTACTTCCGTGTCCCTGGTTAAACAGTACTGCAATATCACTTAGTCATCCCTGACCACTTCACGCAAAAGTGATAGCGAGTAGCGATGTGCTTGGTTTTCTTATAGCGCACGATTTTCGGCCTCCGCATTTAAACCTTGCTTAAATCTCGTATATGTTGATCACTTCCTCTATTAAGCCACCAAAATTGTTCTGAGCCAAACTGCTTCTTAGGCAGCTTCTGTCTAATCACTCTGGGACTGCCACTCTTCGCTGCTTCTTGTGGCTCCAACTGATGCATCCAGAACTCATCATAAAACCATTTTAGTCCATATTTTGCCGATATAAACGTCACCGATCAGATGTAGCCCTGAAGATAGCCTCCAGCTGGCTTGCAAAAGTTAATGCCACGTGCATCACTCCTTGGAGGCAGTACAACACACTCTTGAGGGCTTTTCAGTGTACTAAACATGGTCCGGAAACTAACTGGCTGAGTAATCGCACTGCGACCTTGATGTCCGGCCGAATACCTGATATAAGTCACACTAAACAGCCGATTGCGTTGCGGTGAGGCACATTGCCATTGATCCTCTGTACCCGCAGCTGTTTATCACACATTTGATCATGTTCAGATCATCACACACGACGTAAGCGCAGCGATAGGCTTTGTTCTTCTTGAATCCCAGTTCCATAATGAATCTGTCGATAGTGTGGCTCCATATTCGTGAAATCTTTTTCAGACCATAAAGTGAGCGCTTAAGGTTACAGACAAAGTTTGAATGATCGTGATTCTTGAACAAACCGGGTTGCACCATGTATATGTTTTGATTGAGCAACCCATTGAGTAAAGTCGTTTAAACATTCATTTGGTGAACAGGTAGGCTGTCTTTGGCTGCCACTCTAAAAGTAAAGTTTGCCACGGGAGCAAATGTGTCTGCATAGTCAATTCCGTATTGTTAAGAGAGTCCCTACGCTGAAGTCTTGCTTTGAACCGATCTGCCTCTTCGGCATATTTTTCTTTGATCCGAAAGACTTGTCAAATGACAATCATCTGACGTCCTTTAGCAAGTAAAATGTGTTGGTCTTATGTTGCAAGTCAACCCTTGTGTCGCATACCTCCGTCCACTTCGCTGCGTTGCTGAATTCTAATGCAAGCTTATTCAAAGTTAGCACTTCTTCCACAAATCTACAACAAAAGACGCTTCGTCATCGTGCAGCCACCAATGTAAAGGGAGAACTATTGAGTTTGTCGTTTAGCCTAAGAAGGATCAGCTGCCTTTATTTAACGAAATTGTCTGCTGCCGACGCTGGCTTTCGGGATCGCTATCTAACGGATGCACATTTTTTGCTCAACTTATGGTCATCGTTGTCGGTTGCTTCCTGCTAACCAGATTCAATAACTGCCTTGTTCTGATAGAAGCTCTTATCATTGTTAGATCGTATCCATATTTTTTGCCTCTGCGTATTGAACTTGTATGCAACTTCGTGCTTGGAGTGTCGAATAAATCAACATCGCACACCGCGTGCATTCAAACGTCGAAGCTGACTAGCACTGGTACCCCATACCAGACTTGGTGTGGGGATAACACTATATTAGTAAAGCGATTTGACAGCAATTTCGAATAAATACGCAGGTATGA